GCGTGCTGTCCTCGCTTCTGCCCGCTAGAACCACCGGAGTGAGAGGAGGTTCTGCTCGGTTGGAATCACGGAGACACTTTTGGACCGAGGCTGAAGCGAGCCGAACCGCAAAGCTGCTGCCAGGGTGGAGAGTAGTTGTCGCTCCGGTTTAAAACGTTCATGGTTCTGTTCCCCTCGGAAAACTTGTGCATGACAACTTTGCACTTAGCTTCAATTCTGTTTCTGATGAAAAGAGAAAGTTCTGCTGCCGACATTCTTGCTAACTTGTTAGCGCTGCATGTTGTTGTGATCACGTGAGCGCTGCATGCTGGATCCAAGCGCTGCTGGATAGAAACACTGGAGCGGGGCAGTGAACTGCTGGAACGGACTGCTAATATTGGAGCACTTATATCGGGCATTTTTTTTGCAGGCCGATAAAATCCGATACTCGTTTTTTGGCTGATATCGGAACGATATCCGATATCAATATCGGACCGATATCCGATATCAATATCGGACCGATATCCGATATCAATATCGGATCGGGACACCCATAGTAATTAGGGCAACAAAGAGAGTAGATATGGTTCTGCTGTATCATTTTCTGCAGTACATATCAGGTGGCTAGCTGGATTAGCAACGGAGAATCATAAGGATACTTAGCTGGAGTCATGGCAGTTCATGAGGCAACATTAGCGAAGATGCACAGTGGATGGTAAATGTCTGACTGAAACTAAAGCATCATTAGTCGCAGAGGAACTGAAGGAAGACAGGCAAAGTGGGGCAAATATGTCCTGRAAATTCTTCTAATGTTCCTCAGCTGCCTGGAGTTAAAGCAGTTACTGTCCACAGAGACGTTCTCATTGCCCTGATAAATCTGTGATACTTTTTGTGTTCACTTTGTAGTAAAAGCTAGCTTAAAAGCAGTAATATACAGCAATAGAACATGATTGCTAGGAGCACCATCTTCAGTCAAAACAAAGCTGAAACTGAAAGTGAAACAGCTGGTAGTACTCTCATTTTTTAACAAAACAAACCAGAATAAATCATTTTATTCTCTTTTGAAGGGAAAATACTTGTCATTATTTATTTAGTTTAAAAATCATGGTACTTTAACTATATTAAGGCACTTAAGGGCCTAAACATGAATATTTTTAAACTGTGGGAGGAAACTCGAGTACTGGGAGAAAACCTGTACAAACGTGAGGAGAACATGTAAAACACATGGCTTGAGCCCAGGACCTTCTTGCTGTGAGGCAGGCAACAGAGCTAACCACAAATCCATCATACCTACAGATTTTGTTTGTTGGAAMGGGGACAGGAAGTTTTTGATGAAACTGTGATCATTTTAATTTGAATGCAGGAATCTATTGTGTGTTTTTTTAAATTTAACAGAATCCAACTGTTTACTAAAAAAAGTGAACTTATTTCTGGAAGGGATGGTGTGTGCGCTTATTTTTGATTATATTGTAGATTTTAGATTAGAAAAACAATAACTTGTGCTTGTTATTCTATATGCCCCAAAAGACTGGTTTAATTATTCGTATTCTAATATTTTCTTTCATAAGATGGCTGGCCTGGAAGTGGGGAAGAAGTTGTTTGCCATAAACGGAGACCTGGTGTTCCTGCGTCCTTTCTCTGAAGTGGAAGTTGTCCTCAGGCAATGTTTCAACAACAAGGGACCCCTTAGGGTGTTGGTCAGCACCAAGCCAAGAGAGTATGGCAGATCTGTGCGTGCACAGTTGCTGTCAAATTTGAAATAAAYKCACATCCTCARWACATTTCCTCTTTCCTCCCTAGGACGATAAAGATCCCGGACTCTGCTGATGGGTTGGGCTTCCAGATTCGAGGATTTGGGCCCTCTGTGGTTCATGCTGTTGGAAGAGGTAAGAGATAGCTGTCTGGCTTCATCAGCAAAAGACTTCCCTTTTGTTATTTTGACACAGCTGGCAGGCAGCTGCTACATCAGTCTTGTGAGGGTGGGGGGGTGCGTGACTTGGCTGTGGCGTAAAGTGTCACACTGATTTCCATGCACCTATTCAAGTTTTTCTTGGTGGATCATTTATTTTCTGTGCAATTTAAAAGCCTTCTGCATTCTTTACTCTGAGTTCTGTTCTCTGTCCTTACAGATTTGAGCTTGTTTAGTAGTGCTGCTATCAGGGTTGGCACAAAATAAGCTTCAATCAAAAATAAAATAAAAAAAAACATAGTCTTGTCGGGCTTTTCTCAGAGGAATTTGATCTTGTTTTTTCTTTAAGCAGCCAAAGTGGGATAGTGGGGGTGGAGAAGTTCTGGATATGCACTTGTAAGTGCAGTGTGTGTGTGTGTGTGTGTGTGTGTGTGTGTGTGTGTGCGTGTGCGTGTGCGTGCGTGCAAGTGTTGGCTTGATGATGCTGTTTCTTGAGAGCCTGCTGTGTGTTTAAGCAGCTGCACTGATCCTCAGAGACAAAGCTCATAAAGTAGGAGGTGTCTAATCCCTCAGATTTTCACAACAGCTTCCGTCTCCYTGGTGTTTTAGGTCACCAGGAGTGGGTAATACCAATTAGAGACAGAAGCCGAACTGAGGCTGGATGTACAGAGAACCGTTGCTTATATCATCCATTATGCTTTTAGGAGGTTACAGAGGAACTGCAGGTAATCTCAGCCAAAATCTTATAGTCAGGAAAACATGAAGATATCATTCAAATGTTGGATATCTTCATCTTAAACAATAAAGGATACAATACAAAATATGATACATTATGGTGCAGAGAACCATGTACAGAAAAAGGATGTATGATACATTGTAGTTTTGGTACAAAATGCTAGAATACAAAATAATTTTTATGACACATTAAAGGGGTGGCGGTTTGCAAAAATCAACATTTTTGAGCTTTATTATATCATGTTATTCCCTTGTATTCTTATCTGAAATTTCTCTTACTTTTGTTCGTACGAAGGGTTCGTACGAACATGCCACGTCCGATTCAACAAACTCTTCTATCTTCAGGAAAAGTGTGTAAATGAGCAGTGTAAACTGATGAATGCGCATCAGGTGCTTGTGCACGAAGAGAGGAGATTTACAATTACCACCCTAAAACACCATAAAAGGCTGTACGTTCCTGCCCCACATACCAGGAAGTGTCTATTCATAAATGACATCGCAAAGTAAAAAAGAAGAACTTTACGAGTTCGGAGCTTGAAGTCCTGCTCTCAGAGATCCAGAAAAGAAAATCTGTCATTTTTAGCAGCGTCAGACCTGCTAAAGCCAAGGAATGAAATGACAACTGCTGCTGTGTCTCTCGTGGGTCGTACACAGTCACAGAAATGAATCTCTTTTTAGTCCTGCTCCGCTTTTCCTTTTTAATTTAATTGTAAACAACATAGTTTTACATAGTTTTCATTTATTCATTTATTTATTTATTCTTTCATTTATTTATTTTCAACTTTAAATATCTTCAAACTAATGAAATATAAAGTTATCAGTGAAGAAAATCAGTCTGGATAACAGCAGACTGACTTCACGTAAAATATATGACAGGTCTGGACCACACATGGATTTTGTTTGTATCTGACAAAAATCTTAAAATACGAGAAAATTGGTGAATGCCACAAATTCTCCTAAATCACTCRTACACACAACTTAAGAACAAATCTGTTCGTATGAACGGTTCTTCCATGAGGCCCATTGTGTTCAATAAGTTGGAAGTCAGAATGAGTTCACAGAAAACCAAATGATCTCTTCTAAAAAGCTTTATTCAAAAATCTGACTCCATTTAGGCCCACAGCAGCAGCTCTGTGAGAGTGAAAGGCCTTGGGTTTTATCAGAACCAAAACAATAACATCCCCTCTCAGGAGCCCAGTGTCTGCCCCAGGCTGATGTAAGAGAAGACTGCATATTATGATGAAGCATCACCCCAATAAAGTAACGTGTACATCTGACTTCCTGGCCACACCCCTGGAGGCAGCATCTATTATGTCAGACCTTAGAATGTAACCCAACTTTGTTTATACTACAGAGAGGCCTCATAGTGATAAGACACACTGACTCTGTTCCTCTGTTTAAACCATATGGCTGCAATGATCACAAAGTGTAAAATACAAGACTGGATCTTAAATTCATTTAGTCGCAAAATTTCCTTCACCCTCATAAAAAACATAACCAGAGTGTTGCTTTGACTCATTCGTGCCTGTTTGAGAAATCCTTTAATCTCCTGTGGCACCATGTAGAGCTGTCTAAACACTTGCTGATATGTACAAAGCACCGCCTGTTGTACATAGGCTACTCAGTCTGCAGCCCCCATAGACTTAAATATATAGATCACTAGACTGAGCCCCGCCGAAACTGTCCACTGGAAGCGTCTGTGACAACATGGAGGAGCAGAAACGGAGACCAAACAGGGCAACAGCTCACAACCTCCACAGAAACTAATAGACAAACAGCAAGCTGAACTGGATCTGTTTCACAGATTATCGGTCATGTTTTTACAATAAATTAATAACTACATATGTTAATTTCATTCAACAATCATGTAAACAGCAGATTTATACCAGAAAAATATATAATTTGTAAGTAACAATGATCTAAACCAGACCTGAAGTCAGCCTGTAACTTAGACTTTAGCTAGTTGAAAAAAGATGACTTCAGCTAGTAATAAATATTTATTATTTCTTCTTACTGTCATAAAAAATAAGAATATTTATATTTACCAGTCAACAGTTAGAAAATGTTCTCTGGTTATAGGATGAAACTTGTCTCTATTAGCTAACATCTTCTTAACAAGTCAGGTTCCTCTAACAGAAACCTAAAAATACTCACATTTATAATATTATTTTACACTCTGTAGGTCTAAATATTAATCAGAGGACAAATCAGCTGTAATATTTAATAGTTTGCGTTAAATTGTAGCATGATTCAACAGTGCTAAACTCTGTATAAATGCTCCACAAGCTCATATCTGCTAACCAGTTCAATAAATAACAGTGATTACATSRACTTTATAAGATTATTTTAATTTTAAACTGTTACRTTATGTTCTGYTCAGATCACATTGAGCTAAATAAGATCAAATCTGCTGACTTGTGTTGTGAAATGAGACATTTTATCTTCTGTTAATAAATCTATAACACATAAGATTTTCTGACATTATTTAAAACATTAGGTAGATTATATAAACTGTAAAATATGAATAATAATTGGGTTAATATTATTATTAATAGGTTTTATGATTTCTACATCGTCAGTCCTTCTTTCTGCTCTGTTGTCAACATGTACAGTAATGGKAAATCCAGACTCTTGACCGTTTTGCGTTAGCCGTTAGCTTCACCAGCCGATCACACGGTCACGTGGTTTCTGAGCACTCCAGCTGTTCTATAGAACCTCCTTGGCAGCCCCACAGTGCACCCCTCCCCGTGCCTCCCCCCACATAGCAACCACAAGGCAGCAACAATTGGCAAACACCTGCTGGAACCTGTAGTATACGTTTATCTAACCAATGTATCAGTTTTTTACATTATGTTTCAATGATTCTTTTTGTACGTTCAGCTGAAGTAGAGGAACAAAAGCTGAACATTTATGTCTTTACAGTTACTAGAGCAGATCCTTATATACGTTTCTCATTACAGTTTGAGCATGCATGGTGAGCTCTTAGGTAGAGTGAAAAAAATAATGGAAATATTTAGTCTGTCATGTCCTTCCTCCTGAAATCTGTAAACCTTGACGTTATCCTAGGGTTGGATTCATGACTGGTCTTGATGAATAACTTCCCTCCTCTGCTCATAACATTCACATACACATACACACACATCGTTTTTTCTATCCTCGTGGGGACTTTGCATTGACTTACATTCCTTTACTGGTCTTTTCCACCCTTTACCCTAAACCTACCCCAGTTCATTAGCTTAAACTCTATTCACCTACGCCTAATCCGCCACTCAAAGTTGGTAACCGTACTTGTGGGGACAAGGCTGYGTTTGTCTGGAAAACAGTCCCTCCTCCCAACCTGCTAAAAATACAGGAAAGAAAGATGTAAATACTGAGAAGAGAAAGGAACGTTACCTCAATTTTATGTGCAGAATATGGACAGTGGAATTGTTACATATTTTCACATCCTTGAGCTTGCACCTGCCTGCCAGATCTGGACCTGAACACAATTTCTTCCCCTTTTTGCCTGCTTTTCTGTTTCACGTGTCAGGCACGGTGGCTGCCACCGCCGGTCTCCACCCGGGCCAGTGCATCATCAAGGTAAACGGCATCAACGTGAGCAAAGAGAGCCACGCCAGTGTCATCGCTCATGTCACCGCGTGCAGGAAGTACAGGCGACCGACCCAGGTGAGGCAGGGGGAGAGGACGGGATTAAATCATCTGGACACTTGAAGACTTTAATTTTGCAGTAGTTTTACTCATCCACAATTGATCATACTTGTCATTTTGACAAAGAATAAAGGTTGAATTTTGTTTGTGTTTATTGTGTTTAGATTCAGGCCTTTAAATGATTGCTCACTGGTGGTGACATTTTGAACTGTGCGCTCATTGATCCGTTATGTAATGGAATTGAAAGCAGAGAAAACATTAGAGACAAAAGAGCAAATAAAGGGGAAATAAGAACTGGTTATAAACATACCAAACAGCCTTCCTGGCTCCTGTTTACTTTTTTTTATAACTCTATTTTTATTTCTCTTGGGTAATTACATAGAAATAATAGTGGTTTTTGGCTTCAGCAGCGCTGACCCCTGGCTCCTAGCGGTGGGCTTGATGTGGGAGCCTGGTAGACGACAAAGTAAGGTGGTAAAGGTTCAGGAAAAAAGGTGGTAGGCCAGACAGCTTATTTTGATCTGAGCGAGTGGTTGAAAGCAGACAAATGTAGGAGGAGAGGACAGACTCAGGCCACCTGTTGAAGGTGGGAAATGGTGAAAATAGTAACCCCCAGGGTGTGTGCATGATTATAATTGAACTCAAGTTTGGACTCTGAGCTTAATGATGCACTACGACTAAAAAAAAAAAAAAAGACTCTTGTGGACACAGAGGAACCGCACTCTTTTTCTCATTCTCTGTGTTCGTGTGTTGGGGTTGTACACAGGAAAACCAGGCACAGTGTGTAGCCTTGGCAGAAAACTCTGTGTGGGTTTGGGTGTGGAGAACAGACACACACTCAGACACACACACACACACACACACACACACACACACACACACACACACACACACA